TTTTTTGTTCCTGCCTCATGTTTGCTGATTTTAAATGTTTTTCTATGATGTTAAAGTTAAAGTTTTTTTATTGAAATTTTTAAAATCATCTGCACAATACGTATGGCTTCAAAGAGCACTTAATAAACACTTTGTAAACCAAATATGACTTTGTTCTGACTTTTTGCCCATAGGAATGCATTAATTAGATTTCAATGCATTCCTATGGGAAAACATGTTTCGCAAGATGAATTTTTCGCATGACGACATTAACCGCAGAACGAATTACATTCATCTTGTGATGTATCACTGTATATCATAACTAATGAAGAGGCTTATTGAGATTGTCTCTGGGAATATTCTTAAGTCCTCAATTAGAGTTTACTTGTTTTCAGTGTAAATACCTCTCAAAATAAACCGAGCAAAGATACAGTGGTGCCTCGCATAACGAGTGCACCGTACAATGACGAATTCGCATAGCGATCCCTTTTTTGGGATTGCTAATGCGAAGGCATACCGGCAGCCCCAATGGGCAAAACTCACATTGCGAAGATCAGTAAGTGTTTCGCTTACCGATCTTCGCATTGCGATGCTGGAAAATCAGCTGATCGGCAGCTCCAAAATGGCCGCAGCGCAACCCAAAATGGCCGCGCGCAGCATTTTCGCGCCCTGCCCTCGCTTACCGAGGGTGCAAAAATGGCTGCCGGATGAGGGAAACTTCGCTAAACGGTGAGTACAGAAGCCATTGGAACGCATTAAACTAAGTTTAATGCGTTCCAATGGCATTTTGCATCCCGTTTAGCGATGTTTCCCCATAGCGATGGTTAATCCGGAATGGATTAACCTCGCTATGCGGGACACCACTGTACTGTGTTCCTGGAGGTGTGAAGTCAGACTAGTGACAGTGCTAAGGTTATTGCCTTGAGGTCCCAAGGTAAATTTGGGATAATTCTCTTCTCCATGGCCTGCCTTTCTGCTTCTACAGCCTAGCCCATATATGTGGGAGCCCTTCAACCCTCCAGAAAGTCTTGGGATTGAGGACGGGAAGGAAAGTGCTTCCTTCCAATAACTTACTTTTTCTTTCATTATTACAAGAACAAACCCTGATGTAATTCTCTCTTGGCTTTTCAGGTGAGTATGAACTATAAAGTTTTTTTCTGACGGTTATATCAGTGTGTTCTAATGGTTAATTTCCTGGGCAAGGACAGATGAAATGCTGATTCAAATTCCCATCCAACCATTAAATTGAATGGATGGTTTTAGGCCAGCCTTAGGCAAATCATGCCATGACAGAAAAGTCAAAGGAAATCCTTATCTACACTGAATGAATTGGCAATGTGGATCGTGCAATGACAAATTGAGAGTGGATGATCATGTTTTCTGCATCACTTGAAAAAGGAAGCCACCATTGCGAAAGAACAAGAATATTATCTGCTAGTCTGCTATATGCAAGGAGCTTTTTTTTCCTTCTGTCCATGCAGGAACATTAAAATGTCATCAGCATTTTGAAAAAGCATGGTTGATCTTATCACCTCAGCTTCTTACAATCTTGTCCTGCACGTGCAGGCCTCTAATTAGGGTTGGCGAACCTGTGACTCCACAGAGATTGTAGGGACAGTCGTTCTAATTAGTTCTAGCCAGCATGGCCAAACAGTATTGTTAGTATGATGGAAATACTGATTCACTTAGATACTTCCACATCACAGAACCTGTGAGTAGCTTTCTCAGCTCAGCAGCTGTAGATTTAAGCTATCCATTGTGCCTGTGCCTGGAAAATCATCTGTAAGCGTGCCAAGCCCTACTGCTATCATGTAGCCTTCGCTGAAATGTTCTTGTCTTTACATAACCACCGAAGGTTTTCATTATAAAACTTGTCAATAAAAAATAAGTAATTTTCTAGATGATGAGGATGATGGCTGCATCTGTCTCTTAGTCAGCCTTCTCCACTGTAATGCCACAGAACTTTTCTGCCCACAGACAACTTAGTTTCCTGTTGTTTGCTGTAAACTCCCTACAGGCACCCTGTTGTTCAGAAACAGTTTGTTACTGCAAATCAGCTTAGCTTTCCAGTTAATAAATCTTTCTAAACATATTGCAGTCACTCTAATTAAGGGGTTTTTCCTCCACACCCTTTATTACTTTTATTATTTATAACTTTTCAGGCTTCAAGTTTTCTGTTAAAAACTGAAAAACCACAATCCAACGCCCAAATAAGTCCGAGATCACAGGAAGAAGAGGAGATGTCTTGTGACTGCACATCCTGTTCTTTGGATAATGTCTTTGATTTTTATAGTTGTCCCTCATACTGCAGAACCACCACCTGACAGAGCACTGAAGGAAAACAGCAGCTTTGCTTCCCATCAAAAGCTACGTATTTGAGGGATGTTTTACATTTCATTTCAGCTAACAAAGACACTGAACATCACCAGAACCAGTCAAGAGAAATTATCAGGATGTTGCTGGAGAGAACTGTTTGTCCGCAAAGGATTTATGGCCTACAAGAGGACTGTAATTTGGTTAGTGAATCCAGTGGTGAACAGAAAATTGTTTGAATAATTTAGGGTGAAACTACTCTCTTTTTTGCATTTGTTCTCTAAGCAAAAACAACAAAAATGATTTGGTTTTATTGATGTATTTGTTCAATTAGCATTACCTCTGTTCTCAGAAAATGCACTCAGTCTTTAAAGCATGCAAATATATTTTCATTACCATTTAGTTTTTCTAAGTTTGGGATCTTTTAGAAAAGCAAACGTATACACATGTTTTATGCTTCAAGTATGAGTCAAAATAGTTCAGCTGGTTTCATTTTGCAGTATTTTAACCATAACCAACACTATCTCATATCAATTTCCCATTTCCTGCAAGCTTCAAACTGTTAATAAAAGAAAAAACCCCAGCTCTGGATGATTAAAGGAAGACTGAGGGCCAATTCATATATCCCTGCTAGCCTTCTATTTGTTTGGGGCAGGACAATCTCTATTAGGCCAAGTAAGATACCTACCTTACACTGCTACTAGTTGAGTATACACTGGTGTCCCACTGGATAATTACCCCACTTGATGACGAATCCGCTTAACGTTGAAGTTTTTGCGATTGCAAAACGATGTTTAGATGGGGGAACTTTGCTTAACATTGATCGGTTCCCTGTTTCGGGGACCGATTTTTCACTTTACAACAATGAGCAAACAGCTGATCGTCAGGTTTCAAAATGGCCGCTGGCTGTAGAAAATGGCTCCCCGCTGTGTTAGGGA